GAGTAGCTGGGGGACTACCACTGCCAGGTAGATGCGGCGCATGTTCAGCAGGGAGGTCCCCCAGGTCGAGCCTGAGAGCCAGGCCTGTGGTGAAACTGGGACATATCGTGAGCTTCAGCGTGTTATACTCCGAACACTAATGCATCCGTTGGGATGCAGGCCTATGGTTCCGGCTGCCTAAGGCTACAAAAAGCTAAAGCTTAAAATATGTCAAAAGAAACAGGCGAATGTACTATCTGATTCAATAGGGTAGATCCAGTTTTTACAAGTTTTTCGCGCTCAACCACGGCAGATCCAAGAAAAAACATTCCCCGTCGGAGGATCCGCCTAGTGTCGTGGAGACGAACCGGTGAAAGGTGAAACACGCTTATCTTGGTTGCTGACCCAACTAGTCTAACCCTGAGCTCGGCTTGGCGAGTTCATTAACAGGGTGAATTCATAAATTGATCTCTTGTCGAGCTCGACCACAGCTTCAGGGCAAGGTTGGCCTCGCGTTCGTAATATCGTGTTCACGATGCTACATGAGCCAGCAAGATGGCACTGTCAGATCGGGTTGTTTCGAGTTCACCTCTGCAAATCCTCATTTTATCCTTAATTTCAATGTGATGGTTCCCTAGTTGACTTTGCCTTGCACTAATATCAAGCTACTGACAGGAAGAGGCTACCAACGGCAACCACCTGTGATGTCTCAGGCCCAAACGCACCATGCTCGATCATTTACAATTAGCAAAGGAGCGGCCTGCCACGCATCATATGCTCTGGAGAATTAAGGTTGATTACTATGTTAATGGTGCTTCGTGGTACGGAGTGAACACGAAAAAATTGAAATTAAGACCGATGGACTGTATGTCTTCGATTGATTCCAAGTTAAAAGCGGTACTTCAGTATACGCAGATAGCCGACAGGAAGAATAGGTCCAAGATCACATGCACCCGGCAACTGGCCCTGTCTTCGATGCCGAGTGCTGCAGCCTGGCGAAAAAGACCCCAGACAGCGTAAGACGCTAACCAGGCTGAATTCCTGCACATTTCGCAGGATCCTGGCAGTGGAGCAGATCTGCACAACCGCCTGATCAGTAAGAGATGACAAACACAAGAGCCCGCAAGGCCCCGCCTGCGCTAAAAAGACTCTTAACGGCCTACAAAGTTTTTAGCCTGTAGGTATGGGTTCGCAACTGGGTCAGCAATGAATATGAAAAGGGCTTCCCTCCGTAACCGATATTATCGTTTCTATACCGCCCGTCGCCAGTCGCAACGCCGGATAAATAGCCTTAACAAACGGATACGTTGACAGACGTTTCAGGATATCTATACAAACGAAGGGACGACCCACCGAGTCGAGTGACCTTCTAAGTCACAAACAAAAGACACCGTTGTCTGGCGCTTCTTACACAAGGCTTCACCACCTGTGTCACTCAGGTAGAATACCGCATGCTGAAAGGGACTCATTAATTCATAGAGCATGGGCTTTGAGCTGAGAGAGTAATTTGGTCTCGGACGTAGGTACTATGGAGTCTGAGGGATTATACGACCAGGGTTCTGAAAATCATTCACTGGAAATGTACCAGAAATCGAGGGGCTGCTTTTGTTCACATGGTTTTGACCATTTCAGATTCACGGTGTATCCTACAGCCTGCCTTTTACTCTATTACATTCACACCCTCCCCCTTTCCTTCATTGAGTCTTCTCGCGCACTTCCCTCCCTAGAAAGAAAACAACTTCTCAGGAACCTTGACATATAAATGCAGCCTAAGAGCCTATAAACCAGTTTTATTCATGGGAGGTGGTCGATTATGCCGTAGGACGCCTTCCAGTGTAAAGACTACTAGGAAAAACGGAACCGACAGTCTCAATACAAACACAGAAAAATGATACATTTACAAACAAAAACGACCCAAAGCACTCACTTAGTTGGTCTTGCTCTTTAGCGTGGGTATATCATAGACCATTGTGTTTACTGAACCGTGAAGTCGAGAGTGCCGGTTCCCGAAAAGCCTTCTGCAGTCACCATCTGGAAGACAGGATTGCCAGGCTCAAGGTTAAGCTGCTTCCAACCATCAAAATGGGCTGAAACGTCGACTGTGCCGGTAGACCGATCCTCTCGGCGGACCGACCACAGCTGGTTAAAATCGGTAACACCGTAGATTTCAGGAACGTCACGATAAGGTATCATATAGACGTCGTAGACACCACCATCGGAATTAACCTGGCCGAGAATGTTTCCGTTGCCTGGAGTTCCTGTGCCATGGGATTCCACAACATACCACTCGGTGACAGGGTCGGTGGTCCAGCCATACACTGCTAGGGTGTAATCGCCCTCAGCACTGAATGATCCATCCCAAGTCAAAGATCTATATGATTACCTGTCAGCAGGGGCGAGTGAGGAAACTCAGGGTGGCCTTTCCAAATTTTTGCTGGGACACGTACCGAGGATCACCGCCTCTGTAGCCCTTTCCACCCAGAAACTCGGAACTCACATCCCAGGTGACCTGGAACTGGCCACTTCCGTCGTATTCAGTATATTTGGCACCAGCACCGTTATCGTTGTAGAGCGAGTAGTAAAAGCCGGCAGAGTTCACTCCATCTTGGCTGTCGGAAAATTGATCTTCGCGTTTTGCGAGGTGGTTTCCGTCGGTTGAGTTCGCGGCCTGCTCCAACCACTGAAGGAACTCCGGGGATTTAGGACGGTGGGTATTTGGTGTGGAATCCGCAGGGCTGGCGAAAACTCCAAGAAGAGGTAGGAAAGCAAGAAGTTGTGGAATTGAGAGCATGATGGAAGCCTGTGTACTGTGGGACTGTTCACTGAAGTTTAAACGATTGTGTCTTGGAGATGGATTATGACTGCCTACGGAGCTGCTTTAAATAATGTTCTGACTCCTAGTGTCAGCTCGGAATCGGCCTCTAAATTACAGGAGCAATGTTTGAGACATGGAAGGTGGGTGGAGACCTACACTTAGATTGAAGGACATATTTACACCGACGCGGGTGAACACGGCAAAGCTGAGGAGCGACTGCATCGTAATGGGATCTCCAGCTCCATATGAAGAGAGCTGCGTCAGTTTGATTAGGTATGACTTTTTTAGGCTATTTTTGGTTCAGTCTCCTGCCATCAGCTCTTTATCTGGTGATCGTCAGTCGTATTTAGAGCTTCTTATCATAGTGTGGCTTTCATATTATCCCCGCTACTGCGTTATTTGCCAAAATATGAATTTCTCTACTTTAAGGAAGGCTGCTAACATATTGGCATTACTTATACTAATGATAATGTACTTTAGTTCTTAACGGGACCATCAAATTTTGATCGGAGTTCCAAGGAATTCAGACGATACAATATATACGTGCTCTACAGAGCAGGTCCAGTGAACAGGTTGTTCTTTGTCAACCGTATGTGACCGCTAGTCACATAGGAGACCTTCCTATTCCGGACATCGGTATTGGTAACTACCGATCCCTGAGGACTATGCAGAATTTTCTGATATTTCCACGGTTCAAAAGTTATGTCTCTTCTAGCTGCCTTTTTAGGCTAGATTGCTTATCATTCTTCA